ATGGCTGGTTAAGAGGAGTTGATGGCCCAGGTCTCGGCTGGGGGCCATTAACCACATCGGTCATTATTCTGCAGGAAATGCTCCAGGCTGAAGTCATTACTGCTAGCCTAAAAGGAAAAGGGGACAGGAGGAGCCATAGGTGTATGCTTCAGTATGTCAGGTCCTACCCTGTTTCCCCGAAAATAAGACCTACCCCAAAAATAAGCCCTAGCAGGATTTCTATGCATTTGTGGTATAAGCCCTAGTGTGTCTTCTTGAGAAAAAATAAATATAAGTGTCTTATTTTTGGGGAAACACGGTATGTTAGAACACTGCTGGGCACGGTTAGTACAGTGAACAATGCGGGCACAAGTAGTATCATTGCCACTGGCTACGTAAGGGGTGTGGATGGATAAGGTGGAGTCAGGTACTTGAGGAGTTACAGCCCCCCAATTGGGCATAGTAGCATAGTTCACTGTCATATTTGGGAAATTAGAAAACTGAGTATCTCCCGTTATATTGGCAACTGGTTTACACACAGAAATCAGACAGGTGCCCAGCAGATCTCCTGAAACCACAGAATTAGTCAAACAAAAATGTGTAACATTGGACACATTAGCAAGCCTCTCCCAGATATTGAAAGCCATCCTTTCCCTCAAAGGGGGTTGTAGAGTGTTTCCTGTGGGTACCCACAGAATACAAATAACCCAATCCCACCAAACAACTGTCCCCTCTGCTGGCTCGCCATCTCCCCAATTTTCATCCTCTTCTGCCTCAGAGTCGGTGGACTCGTAATCAGAGGAGTCGGTGGAGTCGCCATGGAGACCCTGGCAATGCATACGCCAGAGATCATGCCAAAAGCTGCAGTCAGTTATGGAGGGGGGATGGTGTTCCTCAGAAAGGGCAATGCAGCCTTGAGAGTGTTCCCACACCCGGACTAGATCTGGAGAGCCTGGCCGCTGTTGGAAAAACAGCCGAGGCTTCCACGCATCATGCTAGTCGGGGTTGCGAAACTGAAATTCTACCTTCCCCCACCCAAAGGGAGAGTCTGTGGGATCAGAATAGAACCAGACTAGACAATCTGCAACCGGCCCTTCCACCAGTTCCGGCCCGTATGGAGACTACAAAGGGTCCAGAAACTGCTGTCCAAAGACTTGATAACAGTACTCTGGGCTCCAGTTCTCAGAGTCTTCCTGTTGACTGTTGATGTATGGGAAAGCTTGCATTAGTGGGATGCAAATAGAGAATTGCAGACTAGGTGCGACCGGAATTTGCAGTAATAACCGCAAAGAGAGCAACATAGAGGTTCTTGGGTGTCAACTCCTTGCCCTGCTCCTGGAGCAGCCTCTGCGCATCGCAGATCACTCGCTTCATGGCACCCCAAGTCACCGGGGGGGCCTGCACGGTCCTCAGCCGTGGCAATGCGCTGGACGCACACACTTTACTGGAACCCAGAGAGGACCTGTGGGCGACAAAACAGAAGTATACCCTCTCCCCCAGGTCAACAAGGGGACCGGGCCCAACCAAGTGCGGTCAGGCAGAGCCCTGTAGAAAACTTCAGGCTGAGGGAGCGGTGGCCGGCTGCAATAGTGCCGGTCATAGGCTGACGAAGAGACAGCTCCAGGGATCTGAGAAAAAATTAAATGATTATAAGTGAATAAGCCCGGATGTACTTGTTACATGATCCAGGCCTGATTTGGGACGTGACCACCTTTCACCCCTTTCAGGTGTTTTTTCTAAAATAGTTTTGAAGGAGCGATTGGAGAGAACAATGTCCCAATGGGTGCAAAATTGCTGGCAGGCTTGGAAGGTATAGTCAAGGGCATTATCCGTTTTCAGCCTGGCCTGATGGCCCAGGGCTGCAAAAGTGGGAATACAGTGGGAAATGACATGAGCAGTTGTTTCACCACGCAAAGGGGTAGCCCAAAGCACACCAGGGAAAGTGTCAACAGAAACATGCACATATTTCCAAGGGGCTACATGAGTAACATCCATCTGCCAAAGTTCACAAGGACCCAGGCCATGAGGATTGACAACCCCTCAGGTCAGTGGGAAAAGCCTGCACAATGGGGGCAGGAAGCCACAATGGCCTGGACCTCCCCCAAAGGAATACCAAACTGATGGCTCTCCACAGGATCAGTGAAGAGGCCATGCACTGCCTGATCAGCCCTGCCATTCCTCTCTGTTTAGGGGCCGGGGAGGCCAGAATGACTGTGGATGTGGGCCACATAGCAGGGATGCTCCCAGACTTGCAAGAGTTGTTGTAGGGTAAGAAAAAGCGCCATGAGGTTAGCGTCCACTCTAGGGGCAACATAAGCCCCGGGGAGGCTAGAAATTAACCGGACTACATATTGAGTGTCAGCAATCAAATTGAAAGGACAGGCGTCAAAACCCTGAAAAGCTAAAATAGCAGCAGCTAGCTCGGCCCGTTGCGGGGTCGCCTGGGGGGCAGTATATTGGGTCTGCCAGACCCCGGCTTGTTGATATACAATAGCGCCTCGCTGCCTCCCCCCATCAGAAAAAACCATGGGGCCTTGTTGTATAGCTGCTGCCAGCAGGTTCGCCTGGTGGGACTGAGTACCCACTTCCTGGCACGCTTTAAGCATATCAGAAAGAGAGAGATCCTTGCCCGATCCAGTTATTAAATGGCGACACTCCTGAGTAGCGTTTTCTTTAGCTAATTTCTTCAAGAGTTCTACCTGAGCCTCTTCATTATCAATTTGACGCTTTAAAGCCTCCTGTAGTCTATTAATGAACTCAATGTAGGGCTCAGTGGCTTTTTGTCTAATACTTGAAAAAGTCTGCAGCGGCTTGCCAGAGGCTGGAACTCGCTGAAAGGCACAATAGGCACAACCAGACGAGACCTCCAAGGTAGTTGCGGGCAGGACAATTTGCTGAATGGGTTGAGCAAAGTCCCCATAGCCATAAAGTTGCTCATCTGTATAGGCACCCCTAGAGGCTAGTCCCCTAATATGACACTGTTGTTGGAATTCACTATCCCACACTACATATTGAGCTGGAGATAGAAGCATGTGGCATGTTGTTTTCCAGTCCTCTGGGACCAGTACATCATTTCTCATAATAGCCTCTAACATCCCTTGAAGATAAGTACTTTGTAACCCCATTTCTCGAGTTCCCTTTCACAATTCTGTTAAAATAGGGTAAGAAAGGGGTTTGTATTCCACTATGTTATTACCAGCATCATCTTGGTCTCTGGTGAGATGCACCGGACACACAGATAACATTTCAGAAATCTCTTTCATTTTCTCTAAGGAAGGATTCTGATTCTTTAAGTGGTCCATAGGAACACTTCGCGGAGTGGGGTGTGAGGGCGGATGATGCTTATCTGGTGGATCCACTGGTGACAGCTTCTGAGGTGTTGAGGGTAAAGACTCTAAGGGTGTTGGTGCCGAAGGCAATGTTGGTGCTGAAGGCAGGGGGGGATAAAGTGCAAGAGGTGGTGGTGGCTTGGGTAGAACTAATTGAGCCCCCTGGGAATAGGCAGGGGGGCCTCTTCACTGCATTTAAGAGAAGCCTGAGAAGAGACAGGCGCTATAGCCTCAACCGCAAACCTGCACAGATACCAGGAATGTAACACTTCCACGGGAGCCCGAGGCTCAGCCTGAAAAGTCTTCCCAATCTTTTCCCAGTCCCTAAGTTTTAGGGAACCTCAGGGTACCAAGGGCATTGTTTCTGAATTTCCAAAAGCAGTTGGGTAAGGGACGCAGAAGACACAGACCAGCCGGCCTTCTGGGCTAAAAACTAGTTCTTTCAAATGTTTCTGCTGCGGCAGTGTTAATCTTCCACCCATACTCACCAATGAAGGGGTAGTAAAAACATGACGAGGAGTACACTCAGGGGCCTATGCCAGGCGTTGGTGAGATGAAGCCTTTCCTGGGGGGTGAGGTCCTTGTTCGGGCACCACTTGAAGGCTTGAGGGTTCAAGAATGACATGAGACACAGATCTGCAGAATCTGTCTAACCCGGACTGGCTCAGCAGTGTTTTATTCACTCTCCCCTTTTCCCTTCCCCCTGCCCTGTATATCGAAAGCTACAAGCATGCTCTGAACTAGAATAACAGGATGTGCTCTGCCCACAGCTCACCTTCTTATCTTTACCCGACTCTAGCCAAGTTTCTTCTCTCAGTGATCTCAGTAGATGTTTTTCTGGTACCTTGCACACTACTTCCCAATCTCCCTGTGGGAACATAGACCTCCGGGCATGTCTCCAGAGTTTTGCCGTCCCCACAGGGAAGCCCACTGTGAATATGTGTCATTTATTCCATCACTTTTCTTTCCATTTCAGAACTTATTTCAGATGATATTATCTAGGCATCATGGTGATTTTGTGAGCGAGATGCATACTAGCTCAGTATGTAAATTGATATAAATGTTGTTACTCTTCAAGGTGCCATTGCCAACTACCAGCTGGGACCTGGAGTTCTGCTGGTACTACAGTTGATCACCAGACGACAGAGCCTGTTTCCTGAAGGAAACGGCAGCTTCCGAGAGTGTGCTCTGTGGCCTCATGTCCCCTGCTGCACTCCCTCTCTTCCACACACTCTGCCCTCCTCCAGTGACCACCCCTAAATGTCCAGGAATTTCCCATGCTGGAGTTGGCAACCCTTCATGGAGCTTCTGTTTTATTTTGTCACAACAAACTAATACGGCTACCTCTCTGCAACAACCACTGTGGTCGATACCTGAAATTCCTGTAGATTTATTTCCCTGCTGATCACTATTGGTACAAATGTCTTCGCAGAACTAGCACGGGGAAGAACAAGCTTCCCATCATACCAACAATTCAGCATCTTGAACCATTTTGGGGGAACTGGCTGATCACACAGCTCCTAGCCCATAATTTCAGTTTGAAGGGCTAGAAACGTCTTTTAAAATGCACATATCCATAATAATATTTCTCCTGCAAGAGAGATTTCTGATAGCACTTTAGAATATACATAATTTTTCTTAAGGATGGCTTAACTTGCTCTACACCTTCTCTTTTCTGTTGTGTTTTGCCAGGGTTGCTAGAGAACCAATTTCCCAACGCAGAAGCAAAGTGCTGTGATGTGCAGTGGGACTCCTGTGATCGCCAACCAGACAGCAACTACAATGCATCCACCAAATCCACGGAATCAGAGTCATTCCATAAGCAACACCATGACACTCCCCTTCACCAGCAACAGCATCACTATCATCTCTATTACCATCACCACCAGTACCACCAGCCCCACCCATCATTGCTGCCAGTTTCTGCAGGGTCTCGCCTCAGCAACAGCAAAATTCGGCTGTGTGTCCTGGTCCTTATGCTTCTCCACACCATGGTGTCCTTCTCAACTGTGCACAGCAGTGGGGCTATTGTCAATGGGGGGCTGAGCTTGGAGGCCCTTCCCACAATGGATGAGAGCCTAACAAGAGACGAGTGAACCAGAGGGGAAAGTCGACCTCCAGTCTTCTGTCCTTTTTGGGGGGGGGGGGCACATATGCTATTCCTCCAATTGGAGGCACAGGGTTGGGGGTGATGCACACATACCCACCCCCGCAGAGCAGCTCATCACGGGGCCCCCCTGTGATGAAGAGTCTCTGGTGTGCACAAGGGTGTGGCAATTCAATCTTGAGAAGGGTTCGGTTAGTAACAGGCCTGAAGCTAAGTGTCCTCAGCTTAAAGGCCCAGGGATATAATGCAAGCTGATCCTGTAACAAGAGAAGGGGCAGAGGTGGAAGAGGTAAATATCCATTGAGGGACAACTTCTCTCCTGGCCACCTGTAACGTGTGGTGTTATATGGGACAAAAATGATCTCTTCCAATGGGCAGCCTGCCCTCTTGGGAACAACAGAAATTGCTTGGCAGAGACCCTTTACCCGAGCATTTGTTCAGCTGAGCCCACAGGAACCAGGGCGAAGCATTGCTCTCCTTTCCTTCCGACACTAACGTCTGAGGCTCAGATCCTTCCCCCACCCCCAACACAAGCAGACGACCCCCTAGATATGCCTCTCTGCACTCTAGTTCAAGTCAGGATTCAAGGCAGAGATATCCTTCAACTTTGGTGACACTGGGTTTTGTGCTCCCGGAAGGGCTTCTTTTTCTGAGGTTGGGCTACATTAACCATCTTGTCCTTCAATATACTGCAAATGGCTATTGCAGTCTATACCTCACCTTAAGTCAGTTTTCTGATGCAGAGTGGTTTAGGTGGGAGCAAGTTACTGGTTACTGAAGCAGCACTGAGCTTAATGGGATGTCTCATAGTTATTGAGACTAATGCTCCAGAACACATCTTATCTCAGGCAGTGCACTGCTGCCCCTGCCCCCCTTAAAAGATTATTTTCTCTTCTCAGTTTTTAACACTGATTGTGCCATATCCACCTATGCACCAATTCCCTAGATGCCTTGTGGGTGTCCGTCCCCCCCCCCCCCGGTTTGGAGTACACCTGTGTGTTTCCACAGTGCTTCTCCCTTCAGTAATTGAAGAGTCCCATTCCTTTTCCTTTTTCTTTTTTTATGCATGCAGCACAGCCAGGCTACTGCTGTCTTTGTGAATATTTAGTACTGTGGGTCTTCTAAGAAGTCTTCTTTTGTGAGGTTGGACATTCTGGACAGCAACAGCTAGCTTCAGAGTCAGCCAAGATGGGTTTTTTGCCATCTTCCTTGAGCTCATTCACTGGTGTTCAGGGATAGTAATTCCTCCCATAGCACTGATCATTCAGATTGCCCACAGAGAACGGAGAAAATCAGTGGTCATAACCCCCCAACCCCCAACCCAATGTCTCTTTGCAGGTGGCCTTTTCTCTGCAGGGTCCAGCTGCAGAGGGCTGTTCTGTTCTCTTTACCCCATCATCCCGAATGCTTATTTTCTCTTGTAACTGACATCTGCTCTAGGATCCTGGCAGCATTATTGGGCTTAGACTGAGCCCAGAAGAAGCTCCCTGTGTTATTGGTCACATCGTCTAATGTTCAACTGGAAATATGGGGAGCAAGCCCACAAAAAGGAGGCACAGCATTGTGCAGGATTTCCCCCCACAGTCCCATCACAACCTGTTGTTTGGACTCTTCAGTCTGCACTGAACCTCCCACAAGGTTTAGTGGTGTCTGCCATTTGGATATGCAGAGTAGCATGGGATTCAGTCCTGTCCTGGTGTACTTTGCAGGCACTGAACCAGCACTCTTGACACTCATGAAATCCTCCACCATTAAGTTTATCATATTACCATTCATGGTAGTCAAAGTTAAGTGAGAACTTAACGTAAGCAGAGAGAGGAGGCCGTACCAATAGCTGCTTAAGCCAGGACAAAATGGATTGCTAAGTGTTACTGAAGTAGAAATTCCCAGAAGCTGTGCAGGAATGCACTACTGTTCCTTAAAGCATTAATTCTAAAAGTTCAGAGCAGCCAGCTGCAGAGGAAGCATGCCCATCCCTGCTGTGGTCTGCCTGTGCTTCCTTCTTTCCATGCAGCCTTCGCCATAGCTGGGCAATCCTGTGAACAGTGTTCCCTCTAAGCTGAGTTAGAGTGAGCTAGCTCACAGATTTTTATCCTCCAGCTCACTTATTTTTGTCTCAGCTCTGGAAGGATGGCTCCAGAGCAAACTAATTAATGCAGGAGCCAAATGGCTTGCTCACAACTTTAATGGCAGTAGCTCACAAAGTAGAATTTTTGCTCACGAGACTCCACAGCTTAGAGGGAACATTGCCTGTGAACTGGGTGTGATTGGACCTTTCAATTGCTTTGATCCAGAAGCTCAACAGAGAAGACACTTTAGGTCTCTACATGAGTCACTCACTGCGCTGGGTTTGCCTACTTCCACTTAGGAAGAAGAAACTTGGGTATGGAGTCCTGATGGGGGGTACCATGTCTTCTTCACTCTAAACGAAACGTTTTTCAGTGCAAGAGTAACATTAATTCAGAAAAAGAGATGCCTGTAGCTATCAGAAGATTGGGAAACCTCATCTCAGGCTCTGGAAGGAATGGACAGGGAAATGAATGATCAATGGCCTGGAAGCTGACCAGCTAGCAAGGCCCGACCATGTCAAGCCATGCATCTGTTTCTCAAGCCCTCTTTGACATACAGGAGGGAACTCAAATGCTTGTACCAGCAAAGGATTTTCTGGAGTTTTCGCAAGTTGTGAAAACATAAGAAAGAGGAGAACAATCTGTGAAAAGTTTTTTCCTTGTTCCTGGTGGCCTTAGGGAGCTGATGGTCAATATCAACTGGGCCCTTTTTAGACATACACCAATAGATAAATATTAACTCCCTGGCTCTTGTCTGTTTTGTAAATGAGACACCTTTGTATTGGTGTCTGCCAAATCTCAATTCAAATCAATGACAGAAGGGAGTCATAGTTTCAGTGGACTCCATATAGTTTTAATTCATTGTGCATTTTCAGTGTTCCAAGCAATTCGCATACATCCACTTGACTGGAAGACCCCCTTGCTGCAGGTGAGAAGGCCTCAAGGTCTGCCTAGGTTTGCCCAGTGCCACCCGCAAGACAGGGCAGAGGTCTGATTAGAATGAGATACCTCCCAGATCACTACTCATTCACATAGCTCTGTCAGTTTGGGGCTAAGATACATACGTTAATTCCTGCCTTTTTAAAACTGGTGAGCACCAACAAGTTGCGGGGAAATGTGAGTTCCTGCCCCTTCCAGACCAAAGAGGAAATGAAAAACAGCTGAATATTTGAATATGTATTTGAACAGAAGAACCTCAACATCTTTTTGGTGATGTTTACATTTCATCTATCAAATCTGTTACCAAAGTCTGGAATGCATAGTGTGTGTCCATATCTCAAAACTCAGTAACCACTGAATGGATACTATGCAACACGACCAAGAGAATGTGTACATGGACAAACACATGATAAGCTTTGTCTAAGGAGCAATGTTGCTGCTTCTGGTGATGAGAAGAAGTCAGTCAGACATGAGGCAGACCAGTGGCCAGGCCAGGCCAGTTCTAGCTACCCTGCCTGGCAGCATTTTACCAGTTTCTTCTTCCAACCTTGTTTACTGAGATCCTTCAAATGGAGATCTCTGGGGCTGAACTGTGAAGACTTTATTCGTGGAAGCCATGTGCTCTGCCACATTTTGGTTCCTCTCAGTATAGCATATCTTTGAAAGATGCTGGGTGCAGATGTTCTGTATGGTTTGCAGTTAGGTTAATTTGGTATTTGCAATGGCTTAGCAATTCAGGAATATTTCAAACCGTGCTTTGCAACAGGCATGCTGTGGAAGTACACCACAGTGAGACCAAAAGGAGGATCGGGTCTCTATTCATCTTTTTCTAAGCATCTACTTTCTCTTTTCTTGTAGCTTTCTTGATAAAAGTCCCAAAATAATTACACCAGAAATACATAATTATAAATATAATTACCAATACCTAGAATCAGGTGGGGGCAGAGCCGTGTTGGTCTGAAGCAGCAGCACAAAGTTTGAGTCCGGTCGGGCACCTTGAAGAGCAAGAAAGTTTTATTCAAGGTATGAGCGTCACACTTCAGAAGTGTGAGGAAGTTTATACCTTGAATAAAACATTGTAGGTGCCACTGGACTCAAACTTTGTTCTACCAAAAGCTAGTTTCTCTATCCCCCTATAATAATTATTAGAAAGAAGCTCAAGTGTAACGAGCAGGGCTATTTTGGGGCAGGAACGCACCTCTGCATGCGTGGCTACAGAGGGAAGGCCTGGAGAGCGACACCCCCCTCCCCCGGTGACTCTGAGGCGGGCGGGCCAGGGCCCCCCCTGGAAGGACCGAGGAGGCATTTAAATGCCTCCCCGTGCCTTCCCCAACCTGTCCAAGGGCCGGCTTGCTCAGGCTCCCCGCAGCTGTGGGGCGCCCAGGCAAGCCAAGGGAAGGCAGTTTGCCTCCCCTCCCCTCCCAGGGCTGGCTTGCCCGGGCTCCTCGCAGCCACAGGGCACCTGGGCAAGCCAAGGGAAGGCATGGGGTGTGGCCTGATATGTTAATGAGTGTCTGCTATTGGATGTGGCCTATTATGCTAACAAGTTCCTGCTGGGCTTTTTCTACAAAAAAGCCCTGGTAACAATCAATTTAACAGATCACAGAAAATAAAATGTTGGATTTATCATAGTCCTGGAGTTCATGATTCCAAAACATGATAAAAGTGGGCCATTTCTAAACAAAGAAGTTCTCTGTAATCAGCATCCCTGTAGCTGTTACACAGTGGACTCTTGCCATATTTTAAAAGAATAGTTCTGATACAGGGGAGCTATAGGTTGCTTCCACAGGAGGTTTTGCCCCACCCCCTCCAACTGCAGCATGTTTGAGGGCTTTTTTGCTTTCCCATGCCATCACCATGCAATGGTTCTCCTTGTGTGTCTTCCTAGCTTTCCTGCATTTTCTCTCCAACCCTGAAAAGATCATAGTCAAAACAAGTTGATTAAGAGGATGGTGAGAATTTTTGAACCTTCCCACCTTCATCTAGTGCCATCCCTTCC